TGAGAACCTCCATCTCTGGCATGGGCAAAAGAGGAGGTGCCCACATGGAAGAGCAAGAAGGGGCCATCAGAGAAACAGGGACTCATCACTTTCATGGAAGGAAGCCATAGGCTCTTGAATGTATTATGAAGAACCGAGAGTCATAATTTACCAGTCATGTTAGAGATGCCTGTTTTTACCATTATGTTAGAGGTTTTAAGATGTGCATTGACATTCGTTACTTGCAGGTTCCACTCGCTGCTTGTCATTGGAGATTTTACTCTCCAGGCTCTTCTTAACTCATACAGTTTTTAAAAATGCATTAATCTACTGTTTTCCCTTCCAATGTAGTTGCTGTGTGTTTCTGGATGGTATTAGGGCCTATAAAAAGCTGAAGAGACAGCCCTCACAATGTGTACCCCCAGAATGGTCTCTCGAGAGCTCCATCTTGATGAAACTAAGGAAGTTTTATGCTCCACTTGTGCCTACCCCATCTGGATGTGACCTTCCATCCAGCTGGGTTGATGTCAACCCTGGCCCCTCCCTCCTTCCCCAGATTTATTTCCACGTCCTCTGTGGGGGGGGGGGGGTCTGCGTGATCCCAGGCCTAGCTGCGCTGCTCGTGTGTCTGAGTGTTCCCAGCACCGCTGTTAGTCAGTTCCATATTATAGGGGAGGAGACCCATAGTCAGAGAGGAGGCTGCGCTAAGTCTGTGCTTTACCTCAGGGGTTCCCCAAGTGGCCTGCTATCTTAGTCCATTCAGTCTGCTCTCGCAAACCACGGTAGCCTGAGGGGCTAAAATACTTTATCGCTCCTAGTTTGGAGGCTGGGGAGTCCAAGATCAAGCATCAGCAGGTTTGGTGTCTGGTGAGAGCCTGCTCTCTGATTCAAACACAGCATCTTTACACTGTGTCCTCACGTGGTAGAGGGGGCAAGGGAGCTCTGTGGGGTCTCTCTTACATGGGCACTAATCCCATTCATGAGGGCCCCACCCTCATGACCTCATGACCTTCCAAAGGCCCATCTCCTCACACAGTCACGTCCGGGGTTAGGATTTCAACGTACGAATTCTAGGGGGACACAGACATTCAGACCCTAATGTCCACTCATCAGAATCACTATGGAAGCTTTAGAGCATGACGGATTCCTGAGTCCCAGAGGGTTAATGCATCCCAGCCAGCAGCTGGTAGTATTTGGAAAGCACTGCCCCTTTCTACACCAGATCTTGGATGTGTCCCTGGGGAACTAACAGTAATGAGTACTGAGTATCTAGATTGGGGGTTGGCAACATGCTTTTTTGTAAAGGGCCAGAAAATAAACATTTTCAGCTTTGCAGGCCATATGCTTTTTGTTGGAACCACTCACTTCTGCCGTTATATTTCAGAAGCAGCTATAAACAATAGGTAAATAAATGGATGTGGCTGGATTTGGCTCATGAGCCGTAGTTTACCTCTACTGATCTAGGTAATTAACCTTGTGCATGATGATCAGACAAGCAGTTGAACTTGCCACTCTCCAGGGGATACTTGGATTTGTGTAACAATATACTACAGGCAGATAGAGTCCATTCAAGATGTGGCAGGTTGGAGCTGCATTCAGCCACCAGGACACAGACCTCTAAATTCAAGATGAATAACTCTCTTTTGTTAGAAAAAATTTTTTGAGTAGATAGTCTAGTAATTGATGTGGTGGCTCCATAATGACATCAGAGACCCACAGTCCCTTCTGTCTTTTTCCATAATTGAGATGATCTCGTGAATACAAAATGTCTGTTGGAGCTCCAGTCATCATCACATTTGTGAGAAAGAAAGAAGAAAGGAAGGAGGGTAAAAGGGCACTATTAGCTAAGTCAAATCTCTCCTAAGGGCTTCCTTAGAAGTCCCAGTGATTTTTGCTTACATCTCATTAGTTGCTCTTACCTCGAGGTAGGCAGGAAAGTGTTTGTTTGTTTTGGGTTTTTGTTGTTGTTGTTTTGTTCTTTTTTTTTTTTTATGACTCTTTTCAGTTTATTGCATGAAGGAGTTACACTAGTCCAAGTTAAAAGCAGACCCCAAATGGTTACATTATACAAGCTGTGAGGTTTTTAAACTTGTGACAAGGGACAGAAGGGAAATTCTACTCATTGCAAGGAAATCCTCACTTAACCTTCAATGAGCCAAAAGCACTTAAAACCCATGAACCTTCAGCTGGTCGTCCTTAGCCAGTCCAATCTCTACCAGGAACTGGCATATGTTCTTGCGCTGGTCACCCTGTAGCTGAATTACTTCTCCATATTCTGGATGCTCAATTACAGTACCATTGCAGGCAAATTTCTTCTTAAACGCCTTCACTAGTTTCTTTTTATCGTAATCATCAGCGATCCCTTGGACAGTAGTAAGGGTCTTCCTGCCGTTTCTCTGTTGAATTCTTATATGGATATAATCCTCAGTGCCAGCAGGAAGCAGATCATCACCCTTACTTGCATCAGCAAAGGGGTCGAAAGAGTGGAGGTTCTGGATAGCGGACATACGATACGATTCCTTTTCCTCGGTGGAAACGGCCTGCGGAAGGCGGCGGCGGGAGAAGGCGGGCAGGGGGGATGGAGCGTCGGGAAGCGAGGGGGCTCAAGGGGGAGGCTGGTGAGTCCTCCGCAGCGGCTCAGTGACTGGGCTGTTGTTTTGTTCTTGAACACATTGCTATCCCCAGAAGTACTTGGGGAAAATGGAGACCAGTTCGGCAACTAGCACCTGCTGTGACCCAGGAGAACCCAAAGAATGCCCCAAATGTGCTGCGTTAAAGTCCCCTGAGCTCCATCCATTGGGTTTATTTGCTAACTGATCCATCGTGTCTCAGTTTATAGAGACTGTGAAAGCCTGAAGTCCCTTTTCTCCACAACTTGCCAGGTCCTTCCAGATGCTTCTGGAGTCTTATAATTGGGATAACAGTCCCATCCGTCATCATACCACTGCTTGGACACCCCGTGCCAAGAAGCCTTTTGCACTAAACCTTTTCTTCTTGGCAGCTTTTTTTCCCTTTGGAAATCTGTCTTCCCCTACTTTGTATCTGCTGGAAGTCTGCTTCCTGGGGTCATCCAGAAAACGTCACCTTGGTCTTTCCTCTGAGATCTTTGCCCCCTCCACCCTGAGGCTCAGATTGTTACCCTTCATTGTCTTCCTTATAATTTGGCTGCAGACCCTCTGCTCGGCCTTAGAGTGTGTGAACCACTTGGGTTCTTGTTCTGAGCAGTGCATCTGGGGTGGAGCCTGAAATGCGGCCTTCCTGACATCTTCCCACGGGATGCCGATGCTGCTGGCCCGCGGACAGCCCTTTGAGGAGCATGTGATCTGGGTCTTTCTGAACATATTTCCATTCATCTTTTAGTAGGTGGCAACCAAAACCTAGCTAAGTTGGTATGGTCGATGTAGAATAGAGCAAGATTTCCAGCTCATTTATCCCAGAAGTTATCCTATACCTTTTAACAAGGTCTAAAAGGACATAGGCTTTTTTGGTGCTTTCCCACGTTATTTCCTTAGCTCAGATTTACTAAAGTCTGGAAGTCTTTGTCCCACAGGCCACCCCTGTGCCATATTTCCCCATCTTTTACTTACGGGGTTGGTTTTTCAGATTTTATTGTAAAACCTGACACTGATCTTTTTGAATTTCATCAACGTTGGATTAGATTCATCCCTCAGGCCAGTTGAGATCACTTGATATCTGTCATCCAGTATATGTGTTGTCTCTCTCAGCTTGGAGGCTTCTAACTAACTTGACAGGCCTCTGTTTTTCTATCTCATTCCCCTGGAAACCTTCTGTCCCTTAATTAGAGTTCTTTGGTTTAAATCATCCGTCCTTCATCTTGTTGACAAGAGTATTACAGGAGACCGTGACAGTCGTCTTGCCAAAGTTCGGGTATGTGATGTCTGCATTTGGGAATACTGGGTGGTTTTCATGTAGATGCAGAATTATCACTCACATCACAGATGCCTCTTTTTATTATATTAGAGGTTTTTAAGATGTGTATTGGCATTTACTGATTACAGATTTACACTAGCTATATATCATCGGGAACTTTACTCTCTGGGATATTCTTGTATGATTTTTTAAAATGCATCGATCTCTCTCCCACTTCTCTTTTCCCTTGAGATGTAATTGCTGTGTGTCCCTGGAAGGTGTTAGGGCCTGTGAAAAGCTGAAGAAACAGCCCTTAACCCTGTGTGCCCCCAGAATGGTCTCTCGAGAGTCCCATCTTGATTGAAACTAAGTAAGTTTTATGCTCTAGTGGTGCTTATCCCATCTGGATGTGACCATCCATCCAGTTCAGGTTGATGTCAACCCTGGCCCCTCCCTCCCTCTCCAGCTTGATTTCCAAGTCCTCTGTGCGGTGGTCTGCGTGATCCCAGGCCTAGCTATGCTGCTTATATGTCCCAGTGTTCCTTAGAAGGAGGTGCTGTTAATCAGCTGCATCTTACAGATGAGGAAATGCATAGCCTGAGAGGAGGCAGGCTCTCACCAGCAGTCTCTCACCGCTATAATATGCATGTGACAAAAGTATGAGCACCATCTCTGAAATCAGCTAGACTGTTGATCTCTGCAGATACTGGGAAGTGATTCACAGGGTGTTGTTCCCGTAACCTGCCTGATTTATTCTTTCAACCTCTTTGTTGACTTAGTACCACTGAGGCCCTTCCCTACTAGGCATTGGGCATCTGGTGGCTTGGAAGATGGATGTGGCTCCCTGCTCTTTTATGGGTAAAGCATGACCAAAATCCCACCCCTTTGTAGTGAGAGCTTTTTTTCTTTAAGATTTACTTATATTAGAGAGGTGTGGGGGCAGAGGGAGAAGGAGAGAGTCCCAGGCAGACTCCGTGCTGAGTGCAGAGCCCATCGTGGGGCTTGATCCCACCACCCTAAGATCAGGACCTGAGCCGAAATCAAGAGTTGGACGCCCAACCGACTGAGCCCCCCTCCCCCCACCAGGTGCCCCTGTAACGAGAGCTTTAAGAGAGATTTACATTTTTCTTTCTCTTTCGCTTTCTTGCCAGGTCTACATCCGGATAAAAGACGATGAGTGGAATGTCTATCGGCGCTACACAGAGTTCAGGAGTTTGCACCACAAGTTACAGAGCAAGTACCCTCAAGTGAGGGGCTACAACTTCCCACCCAAAAAGGCCATTGGGAACAAGGTACTGTCACTGCGGGGAACCAGGTAGCTCACGCACCGGTGCCTGATTTGCACACACATGCTTCTGTAGCCCGTGACTCAGAAGTTGGCTAATGCAAGAGAAAATAGGGACAGAGAAAACAGTCATAATTCCATCACTTAAAGACAAGCGCGTTATGTTTTGTTTGTGGGCGTCCTCTTAATTCTCTAGGGCAGGGGTCGGCAAGCATGTCCTGTTAAAGGGCCAGAGAGGAATAATTTTTGGCTTTGTGGATCACAGCACCTTATCTGAAAGTACTCAGCTGTGCCCTTGTAGTGTGAAAGCAGCCACAGCTGGTGTGGGCACAGATGGGCATGGCTGTGTGCCAATAAAACTTTATTCGTAAGAATAGGTGGCGGCTCGGTTTGGCGGATGCGTCATAGTTTGCTGACCCCTGTTGTGGGCCAAAACGATGTTTTCCGGTTTTTACCCATAGTTATGATACTTACTTGGACTCATGGACGTGGGGTTATTTCCCAGTAAAGTTTTCTCAGAGGAGCTTCCTTCTGGTATAGGGTTACTTCCCTTAGGAAGGTTGAGAATTGATAATGACCTGATTTGTTTCCAGGTATTCATCCAGGCACCCTGGAGAAGGGAGGTGCTAGCCCTCCACGAGGCTGCTGGTTGATGAGGGCTCGTTCCTCCAGCAGGTGTCTACTGAGCACCATTACAGAGCACAGTACAAGGGGCTGGAGCCCAGGCCCCGGGAGGACAGGCCTGGGCCTGGTGTGGGGCCTCGCATTGTCTGCTCTTAGCCCGGTGGCATCATTTTGTCATCCCTCACATTAGCTTAGCGCAGCAGTTCTCCCTCTTGGCTGCACTTGGAATCACATGGGGAGCTTTCAAAGCTTCTGAGACCTGTAGGCCTCCACTCCCATTAGGATTTAAGGTCTGGAGTAAGGCAGGGGTCCTGAGGGCTTTCAGATGTCTCCGGGCGGTTCCAGCATGCAGCCCAGCTGGAGAACCCCTGGCTTCGAGTCCGGTAGGACACGGTGACAGGTGCACAATTGCAGTATATTAACTAGTCTGGCAGGGGCAGTTCGGCCAGAGGAGGTGGTGTCATGACCCTGCTGAGGACAGGTGAGAGAAAAGCTGGGCCTTGTTGTTAGGGAGATCCCTCTACCACCGTGGTTCTCAGAGTGTGGCCCCTGACCAGCAGTAGCAGCGTCGTTAGAAATACTGATTTCCAGGCCCTGTCCCTGACCTACTGAAATACAAGCTCTGGGGCTGGCGGCCCAGAAATCTGGTTTCGATCTGTGTGGTGCTGATGCCCGAGCAAGCATGAGGACCGTGGTGCTCTCACATTGACAGAGCCGTGTGGCAGCTTCCCTATGTGATGCATTTCCTAGTTTCTCTCTCGACAGAGGCACCTGGCTAGGGTCTCCTTGGATCTTTCTCGCGGAAAACCAGAGCAAGTGTGGCCGTACCCACTGCCAACACTTGGGAGTTCCACGGGGAAAACTCTTACTGACTGTTCTGTTTACATGTTCGTGTATTTCTGTGCTTAAACCAGATTAGAAACCTGATCACGTCAGGGTCTGTTAGATCTTAATTAAAACTGTTATAAAGCAGGTTTATCTGAGGCCTAGAATAAATGTGTCATTCCATTTTTTTCTGAAGATAAGTGGAGTTCAGCCCATAAAAACGGGAGACTGAGAAGTTCTACACTTGTTCACAGCAAGAAGGACAATAATTCTTATGAAAAGAGGGGAAAAATTATATACTGATTTAATCTAATGACTTGCAAGCTCATACAAATCTTGGGACCCATCCAGAACGTCTTAAAATGTCATAAAACAAAACTCTGCCTCACCAACGTAGTATCATTATAAGATAGTCTCATTTGCAGAAAGCATTATGCTGAAGCAGCCTTTCCATGATACCTTCTCTGGGAAACGCGGCTTATCTGTATCTCACTAAGGGAAATGAGTACAAGGGGGAGCTAGGGATATTCCGATGGTGAGACGTCTTGTGTTTTTGTTTCTAGCGGCTGCCAAGGTGGCACCCACTGTGTGTCTAAAAACAAATTTAGGGCGCCTGGGTGGCTCAGATGGTTAAGCGTCTGCCTTCGGCTCAGGTCATGATCCTGGAGTCCCGGGATCGAGTCCCGCATCGGGTTCCCTGCTCCTTGGGAACCTGCTTCTCCCTCTGCCTCTCTTTCTCTCTCTCTGTCTCTCATGAACAAATAAATAAAATCTTAAAAAAAATAAAAAATAAAAACACAAATTTATTATCTTATCAGTTGTGGAGGTTGGAAGTCCAGAATCTGTCTCCCTGGGCTAAATTCAAGTTGTTGGGAAGGGGCTTGTTCTTTTTGGAGGCTCCAGAGGGGAATCCTTTCCTTTTCTAGCTTCTGGAGGCTGCCTGCATTCCTTAGCTTGTGGCCTCCTGTGTCTTCAAAGCCAGCAACCACCTGACTCTGACCTCGCCTCCTGTCACAGAGTCCCCTCTCCTTTTGTGACTCCTCTCCCTCTTCTAAGGACCCTGGCAGCAATGGTGGGCCCACCCAATAAGACCCAAGAATCTTCTAGCTCAGCATCCTTAACAAATCCTCAGAGTCCCTTTGGCCAAGTAAGGTGAGATACTGTCAAGTTCTGGCATTAGGCAACTTTGGGGGCCACACATTGCCACGTGCTTTCTCGGCAGACCAAAGCAACTCCCTCCCCACCTTGGATCTCGAGGCAAGCCTTAGAGCTACTGCAAACTTACTTAAGACAAACCTACCCACCACCACCACCACCACCCAGGAGCAGGGACTGCACTGACATTCCCCTCTGAGGTGGGCCATCCCCAGCCCTGCTTCACGTTCTCCCATCCTTGTCAATCCTGGGACTGACTCTCAGCAGCAGTGGGCTTTTGCCCCGTGAAATCTGTGTCAGTAGGGTACTATTCCCCCCCCCTGCCCCCACCCTCACCCCCATACCCAGTGCAACACTGTTTGTGAATAAAGGAGCTTGGGCATTAAAGGCTTACTGACTTGCTGGGTGTGGCCCAGTGATGGCCGGCTTGTACAGATGCCCCGGCCTGCTGGTCCTTTACTAGATTGTTGGTCCTGCTCCCCATGGTCAGGGGTGGACCTGATAGTTTCCTCTGTTGCTCAGGAAGCTGACAGCTCATGAGCAGTCATGGGGCCTCTTGTCTAAGCCTATGCGGCCTTCTGCCTTCGAATTGGCTCGCTGGCCATGACTATACTTTGATGCCCTCTCTCCCTGCACGTTTGGCTGAGACATACCCACTTTCCTTAAGTATGCTTTGGCTGCTACCCAGGACAGATCTGAGGGTTTATCTGGTTTTCAAGGGCAGATTGAGTCAGCCTGCAGGACTGCAACATCCAGCAAAGGCTACTGATGAAGTCTGTTAAGAGACAAAGCCCGCACTGGCTCCAACCAAGCCTATGGGCTCAAGGTACCTGCCTTGATACCCCGAGGACAAGTTCTCTAGTGAGTTTCTATTCTAAATCGGTCCAGAAAAGTCAACCATGTCAGCATCTTTTCCTTGATTAGGTCACTTCAAGAACGTCTCACTTGCCACTTGTACCATTAATGTACACAGACATGACTTCTTTATGTGGATTGAGTTACATGGACCTTGCTACTGTAAGCCTTGCACCCATTAAGTGATTCAATCCACAATCCACAGAGCTGGATAGTATTTAAGAAAATATTAACCAGAGTTTAGTTTTTTTGAATTTGCCGTATGAGTATATTTCTAGCCTGAATTTCTAGGTGTTTTCCTAACACTGTCTCCATGGTTGGTGATCTCCCAACTGTAGAATTAAAATGTCATCTTAATCCAAGTTTTAACTTTTTAAAAAAATTATTTATTTTAGAGAGAAAAAGAGAGAGAAGAGAGTGAGTGAGCAAGCGTATGAGTGATAGGGAGGGGCAGAGGGAGAGATTCTCGAGCAGACTCCTCGCTGAGCGTGGAGCCCGATGCGGGGCTCAATCCCACGACCTATGAGATCATGACCTGAGCCAAAACCAAGATTCGGATGCTTAACCGACTGAACCACCCAGGTGCCCCCAATTTTGAACTTCTTTTGATTGATAAAATAGCACATTTTATAGTTTGTGGATGCAGGATTTGTCTTTAGCAAAGAATTTCTTTTGCCTTAGTATGTCATGCATGTGTTTAACTATAAATACCCAGAGTGCTCACTAGAGCTACCTTGCCTTCAGGGTACCACATCAAGCCTAAATCATGTGAGATAATTTCCTGACTATCAGTCCACCACTCGATGAAGTTTATTCCTTTGTAGCTGAGTCAAGCAAGCCACAGTAGTTATATATTAAAGTTACTCATTAAATTCAAAATATCACAGGCGTGGGGCTTGTATCAAGATAGTCTTCATTAGGCTGGATTAATAGGCTGGAGTAACAACTCCATGATCTTGGCAGCTTAAGCCAACCAAGGTGTATTTTTGGCTCATGTTTCATGTACATTGTGGGTTGGCTGGGAGCTCTGCTCATCATAACATCAGGAGGCTAAGGACAGGGGCAAATCAGGAACTTTGGCTCTTAAAGCTTCTGACCAAAGGTGATACATGTTTATTCCACTCATATTTCATTGACCAAAGCCAGTAACTCCGCCATGCATAATGCCAGGGGGCATGCCAGGGGGCATAATGCCAGAACTAGAATTTTTACGATCAGCTCTCATGACCCCCACAGGGGTGGCACTTGTCTTGAGCCACATTTCTGGGGATGTAAGGTGGGAATAATAGGAGAGCACAGTCTCACCAGTTCGAGACTGGTGTGCCAGGTCCTGTGGGTCTCCTTCCATAGAGTCGTAGTTCAGGTGCTCCCCTCCATCCCAACCCAAGCCTGGTCCTTCCTGGCGTGGGCATCTGCACCTTTTCCACTCTTGCCTGCCTACCCTCCACTCCCCATGCTGCAGCCACAGTGAGGTTTGTATGACATAGATCAGATGGTGTCGTTGTTGATTAAAACCCCCCCAATGGCAGCCATGGCAGGTAAAGTCAG